GCGCACCCACCACGGGCATCCAGGGCCCCGGCCTCCCCTCCCTGCTCCCGCTGCCCCGGGTGGGCGCCGCGCGCCAGGCCTGCTGCCCCTCTCCCCGCAGGCAGGCCGAGGTCCTGCTCCGAGGCCGGGGTCTGGCAAAGAAGGAGCAAGGACAGGGTCGTGCCTCATTCAGACAGCAGTACTCCCCCATCTCCGAACAGGACAATATCGTCTGTATTTCCACGCATCAGTGCTGAGGAAAAAGTTTTCCTGCTAGTTTCTTGAAGCATAGGACCAGCTCTGATGACCTCTCAATGCTAGGACTATCTTATTTCTTCCCTGCCCCCCTCCTTTTTTTTTTTTTTTTATACACTAATGTCTCCCATGAGTTAATACAAAAAAACTTTGGAAAATTAAAAACTAGTTTTTTGAATTACAGTGTGCAAATATTTCATATGGTGAGAATATATATTGATATTTTGCCTCACTCCTTCACTGAGCCTGAGACTGACATGTAATATAAGGTTAGATGGGGCACCCATCCTGCCCCGTCACAGAAGCTTTATTACAGGACTCCTTGTCATACATTGTCAATGCTGTTTATTGCCTATCATAGTTACTTCAAAGAACTTACGAAGGAAACAAGAAACTAGTCAGGCAACTAATATTACATAGGATATCAGACATAATGCATCAAGTGACCTGTGTGAAAAGGTGGAGAAGGAAGAACATTAAACCATTCTGGGTAGTTTTCTAGGTGGGGTGTGAGGAGCACATTGAGACTTAGGTTCAAGCCCTGGCTCTGCCACAGAATTCCTGTAGACCCTTGAGGACATCACTGGATTTTGCCATCCCTCAATTTTCCCCTTTGTAAAATAGAACTAAAAGTATTTTTGAAATCATATAATAGCCATCATAAAAATCCACCATACTTTCCATTACCCCCATCGCTGAATGACCTCATCCCCCTTTTTCTGTCATGTTATCTGATTTCTGTCCCTTGATGGGTTCAACTGCTACTCCATCACCCTTCAAGCACTGCTTGGAGAAAATAAGACGTCTGTGATCTGACACACCAGCTTTTTGCAAACCTTTCCCTGGAGCCCTCTGCTGTGTCCTAAATGCCCCCAGGGAGCACCGGCACCAACGGGGGGCACATGCTGTGGTACAGCACCCAAATCGGGGCAAATAGACCACCAATACAATCCTTAATGCAGCACAGAGCTCACAGCCTAAGGCCATCCATACACACATTCAGCTTCACAAGAGAGCTAGAAAAAGTATTAGAAGTATTTTTGGACAAAGCAACCAAGATAGTGCGAGTTTAAAATAATTCTCGTGCAGCCACACAGGACGCCTGAGGCAAGGCAGAGGACATGATCTGAAACTTGTGGCCATGGCTGCCGCAGGGAGCAGCGTGGGGCCACCCCTTCGGGAGCTGCGAAAGGGCAGAAGCATCCAAGACACCAATTCTGAGCATGCTCACGGCCTTTCCAGGGCTTATTGAACATAACATCTCACCAGCATGGCTGGAATTGTCCGTAAAGGTGAATTACAAGTGAACTCCCTCTCCTCGTTAGTATTGGTTTTCTTTGCTTTTTAATGAACTATTTTATTTCTTTTAAGCAGAGCATTATTTAAATCTAGCGTATTTTTACACATTTCCTTAGTGTAATAAGGTCAGAATACCTGTTGCCGAAAGCCAAAGCTTTCATGTCACGTTATGCAATTCTAGACAATCATTCTGAACTTCATAAACAAATGCAACGATCAATTTCTTAAAGAAAAAAAAGAAAAAAGAAAAAAAAAAAGAAATTTGCCTTCAGTTTCCATCATTTGTGATCTGCAGCCACAGCAGCTCTGCTCCATCCCTCACCCAGGAGGAGGTGGCAGGGCGCCCAGTGCTGGAGCCAATGGGCAGGGCAGGGCTGGGGCCCACGCGAACTGCTGGCGCTGGCTAACCACCGCTCCTTGCCGCTTTCCTAAGGGTAAGGTTTTAGCACAGATCTCTGCTCGAGAAGATTAAGGAATCAGAGCAATTGAACAGAGGACACATGCAACCTCTCAGGCAAGGAGGGAAAACGAACAGGCGGAAGCGCAGGACGCTGCCGACGGGCCGGCACAGGGGGATGGCCCGGGAGCACCCGCAACGGCAGCACGCTCGTCCCCAGCACTACAGATGTGGTATGCCTTGGACAGAGAGATCACTCTATCTCCATAAAAAAAGGAAAAGCTTTTTTTGAAGGGGGGTGGGGAGACACCAAGCAAAGAGACATAGAAACACCCGGGTTCAAACAAAGTTTTATGAGGAGAGCTGGAGTGCACTCAGCCTGTAAAACAGACTAACGGTGATGGCAGGCCATTGCTTGACGCACTGTCTAGGCAAAGGTATCTCATGATGGTATATAATCAGGATATGCTCCAAGTTTTATGAGCGGGATACCACTGTCAACAGGTGATTGAATAGCCTTTCACATAAGGAGCGAACGACAGACCTTGCCAGGGAGCAGCAAGGAGAAAGACAGAGACTGCCATTTACCTTGACATGTTTCTTCCACACGAGCCAAGCTAATTGCACACGTCAAAAGGAAAAAGCAACGCATGGCTTTTGTCCGCTCCAGATAACGATCAGATAGGGCCCTTCCTGTCTTCTCCAGCAGGCCCTTCCTCCTACATCACATGTGGAGAAGGAAGAAAATACAGCTTTTGAAGGTTAGGTAATGGCCTAATTAAAGCAGAATCCCAATTCCAACTCTACAGCTCTGCCCTTTTAAAACACAGTGCTGGGTCAGCCTGTCAGTTTTGGTTTAGTGTGCTTGTGCTGCTAGCAAACCCCTAATAATATGCTCTTTGGCTTCATGTGGGCATTTTACATGTAGGGTTTTAAATAATTGCAGCAAGTGCAAAGAGATGCATGTCAATTTAAAAACTGGTATCACCCCGGGAAGGGGCACCTATGACCAGCCCTCTGGAGAGGTGGAGAGCTTTCAGGGGCCGCAAGAGCAAATCTTCCTTTCAGAAGAGCAACCACGGAGCGGAGGTTGGGGAGGGTGGGAGGACAGCACATGCCCTTTGGGGCAAGCGGTGGGGTAGAGTTTAAATCTTTCGTTTGCCCAGAGCCCCACAAAGCGTGCAGTAAACCTGTGCAAAGGCATGCAAAGGCAGCTCCACTCTCTACTGCAGATGCAATGTTACAGGGTCCTCAGCTTGCACCGTCACGTATTTATGGCACAACAGTATTTTTTAGAAGGTAAAGTTCCTTTTGACAGTGTTACTGCATGGCCAGGACTCAGGTTCTCTGAGGCATCGTATTTTTGGTTAAGCAGAGGACTTGAATATACAGCATAAAATGAAGTTTCTTTAGCATGATCTCAGTCCAATATCCAAGTGCTTTTATTTCGTATGACTAGTCCTTGCAGCGGCAGGGGAAGAAGCTTCCTTTTTTTCAAAATGAAGCAGAGAGAATCTGTCTTTGCCCTGTTAAACATTAGTAGAGTTTAGGGGAGAAGGATATCAGTACGAAAATTCAAGCTGGCAGATGTCTGTGTAATACAATGTTTTCTAAGTTCCCCCAGCTCTTCCCACCTGCTGCATACTTCACCACATGGCTATCTGAGGCATTCACTAGAGAGGACTCTGAAAAAACATCTCAGTGCCTACAGATGTCTAAAAGGATCAGATCACCTTTTTTCCCTCCGTGGTTTTTGAAGTGGTTATAGCAAACAGATAAAGAATGTAATCACAGCAATCCTTTTCTGCAATCGCACAAAACTATAGAGGCAAGAATCTGACGTAGAGGGAGAAAAACCGGTGTAATTGCTGCTCTAATCCCCTCGCACTGCCAGCACATACAGCTGTTCCTGTTCTGACCCTTTTCCAAATGAGTCAAGGGAGTTGGTTCCAGCTTTCAGAAGGGTGCTATTTATTGCTTTATTTCCCACTTCAGGGGCTAGGATTCAACTTGTAGCATCAGAGAAAAACACCTTGTACCCTGCTACGGCTTCAGCCAACAGCACAAAGTTCAAGAAGGGATTCGTAACTCATGCCCAAATGGAGAGCTGCAAACACAGCACTCCCCAGACAGCCTCACCTGCTCTTTGATCCAATCCTATGCCTGAAACATGACAGGAAAGTACAAAAATTAAATTCCATATTAGGACATAAATTATAATGTTACTATATTATAATGCTAGAGGTTAGTACACATTATTTGGGAGCGTTAGTCATGCCAAGGTAGAAAGTTACGTGGGGAAAAAGTTACTGAAAAACGCAAGAGGAACCATTGCAGGGCTCAGTAGACCTCACTTAATTCCTTGCTCCTCCACAATGTTCTTGCATAACTGTAGGCGATTCACCTATACCAACAGCCTGGCTATATTTCCAGACATCACACTCCTGGCTTTATGAGCGTAGCAAAAAATCTGCTCCCAAAGTCTCGCTTATTCAGAGTGAGTAAATACGAAAACACTTGATCAAAACACTACCCACCAGGTCAAGACCCTGTTCCTCAAAACCGTCTTTGCCAGCTGTACCCAGCAGTCAGCAGCGGCATCCCTATTGCCAGTGGAAATGGGAACATGGCTGGTCCATTCCCTACCCTGCCCGGTGCCTCCCTGCCACAGCACCAGTGGGCCGCTCCATGCTGGGCTGGGTGAACCCAGCACGCAGGCAACAGGAAAGATCACAAGATGCAGCTTGTCAGGACAGATAAATCCCACTAGTTTCTCCTCTCTAGTACAGGATGACAATACCAGCTTTTCTAACAGAAACATTGCAAGGGATAAAGCATTAGATACTATCTGGTAATAATTAGATATTAGAGCAACCGCGTGCCAATACTGCTTACCAACACAGTAACAATATTGACAGAGGCAGGATATTGTGAATATCAACAACCCTCTTACACAAAGTCATCTACCAAGAACAAGAACTGCTTGCTCTTTGCTCCAAGTTCTGCTTTCTGTTCTACTTGTTCTTTGCTCTGCTGCTCCCAAGGAGGTAAAGAAAGTTCTTACCTGGCGGAGAAGCTCATCTCTAGCAGCACATGGTGATGATGACAGATGCCCAGAGATGGCCAGAAGGATAGAAAGTGCAAGACGCAGGAATTCACTGCCCGCATCTCCATTAGGCTACTTGTTTCACATGTGCTGGGTGAAACATCCGTTTCTGATGAGTAACAGCAGGGAAGTTGCCTAAACTTCTGAGTTATGCTCCATGTCATCCAATAGACTGGAAAATCGTTCCCAAATAGGACATCAACATTCCACAACAAATGCCCCCCTCCCCTTTCAATAGGCAAATCTTTGCCCAGCAGTTAGTTTTGCCGATTACCTACAGATCCTTTATGGAAATCAGGAATCAGGGAGAGAAACAAATATTGCTAGTAAAACTTGTGATTTAATATATATCTTACAGAGAATAAACACAGAGGCAGTAGAAGCCTAGAAACCAATCCACATAATCCTAAGAAATTCTAATTTTAACAGACACTTCCAGAAAATGGAATCATATTGCTTTTGTAGTGTTGTGAGAAATTTTTTTTTGGTAGGTTTTGGGGGTTTTATCTTTGGGGGGTCCTCTTCCCCCTCAGCCTTTGTATGGTTGAAATGGTTCGAGAATTTGACGTTGTTTCTCATTCATTCGGCTTAAACAATACTTCTCAACATTCTTTAAGATTTTGTTGCTGTTTTATTTTTTGTAGCTGTGACATCATAGGAAAAATAGCTATTTATTTCTTGAGGGTTTCCCTTCCCCCCACTGCCTGATTTGGGAAGAACAGCAGTATGGTTTTTTTGATTTATGTGGAAAGAGGAAACCACCCTGGGCAAAAAGTCTGCAGTCAGCAGAAGCAGCACTTTGTCTTCAAAGAGTTATACACAAGACTCCCAAATGATTAATGCACTTAACTCACATTTTTCTTGCAGATGCGATTACAAAAGAGAATATCAAGAGGAAATGATTTTTTTTTTTTTTTTAAGTTAGAGAAGTATTTTCATAACAAGGAGTAACTCTGTAGAAGAAAACAAATTTCTGAGTCGTTTTACAAAAATAACATGAACAATTTCAAACTCAGACGCCAGACTACAGACACGTGTTAATAATTAGGCACCAAAACTAAATATTCTACTTTCCTAGAAAGTCAATATTTGCTCCACCTGAAAAGATGCAAACAATTTATTAGATAACTATATACTAATACAAATACCTAAATTCAGGCTCCACCTTTGAAACATTGACAAACTGCTATTACAACCCACCATTTGCATTGCTCTCAGCCATGGAATGCCACAGACTCCAGGTAGTTTTCAAATTTCTTGTATGGCTGCGATACCCAATTCCCCATTTCCTAGTCTTCTGCAGTATCTCTGGGACTAAGCAATAAGAATTCCAGTTATCAATCATTATAAGTATTCGGATGAAGAAAATGAGATTTGTAGTGAGGGAGAGCCTACCAAACACTGTAAGGATCAACGCAGCATATGGAGAAAAACATCTTATTTTGGATATTGAATCAACTCTTTCCATGCATACGAGAAAACACAAGAAAAAGAATGAATTTAAATCAACATGCATAAGCAGAACATAAAATGGTGAAATATATTTGAGCAAACATCTCGATATCTACCATAAACCATGACATCAGGGTTTCTCCCTCCTCCTTCAGTCACACAGTCTACGATTGTCTTAGGATACTCTTGTTGCTAAGGGAGCAATTAGATCTAATAAAAGGATCTTTCATTGGCGAAAGGTCTTTTAAATTTGTTTCCTAGATATTAGAACTGAGTAAAAACAGAACTGCGCTGCTCAACAGATGCTGACAGATATTTCAGATTCATGAAGAAAATGGGTTTTGAAAGCGCAACGAGCATCTGCCTGGGCATACTTTGTTCCCTCTGACTGCAGCCAAGGTTTTCAAACTTGGTTTCTGAAGATGTCTTCAAATCTGACTTTTTAGCTTTGTAATTAGCTCTCCAGTTATCTCAGTATGATCAAACGATGAGAGCCATGACATACATTTAGATGCATATGTAAGAAGACGTTCCCAGATGGGTGAGCCAGGGAGGACGGGGTAAGGAACCATAGCAGCGCTTAAAGCTATACATGAGCAGGCTAGAAAGTTTTTGTTAATAAGAGTTGCTTATTGCAGGCTCATTCTCATTTTTTCATGCACCTGGCCTGCAGAAAGACTAAAAAATAGGCAAGTGGAAGTTAAAAATCTTCACCAGATTAAGTGACTGCCAGATACGCAGCACCTATGTACCCAAACTGCTGTATGCGTATCCACTAGGGTTCACAAGCTAATTCAGCATAATATTTGAGCATTACCACCACTGCCACAGGCCAGGGAGCCCTACTGCCAGCCCTGCTCTTAAAGGTGATCCTGAGTAAACATAAAGTTTGATAAATTCTGTATTGGATCATGATCTCATGTCTTACAACAATACCTGCAAGATAAGAATTGTTCTTTAGAAGGCTTGAGAAGGAATGAAACATATTACACTATCTCCCAGAGCCAGCTGAGAAAAGGGAGAGGCTGAATACAGATGTCAGACAAACATTTTTCCATCCACTTGAAAAAAAAAAAAATTGTCACTGGCAAAGGGTGTTTCCTTGGGTAGGGGAAGAGCTAGTGACATTTTCCTGTTTTGCTGTTTGAAAACAGTCCCTGTTTTCGTCTTCATTAAAACAAACAAACAAACAAAACAACCCTTTTCAAGAGAGCTTTCTGGAAAGACAATATTTTCTGCAATTTTTGCAGAACATAAAGCTTAGATGTTCAATCATCTCAGAAGCAGCACTTAGTATAAACAGATGCCTGGTTAGAACCTGCCTGAACCAGCGAACTTGTTCAAGGACAGACACACAGACACACACACGTCTAATTTTTGCTCCATACAACGTGGAGCATCTAAGATATTTTCTCTTAGACTTCATTGATTTGGCTTCTATCATGCCATTACTGACCACTTTATTTTCCAGAAGCACGGATCTCAAATGAAGAGCAGATAAGCCTCCTGGTCAGTGTAATTTGCTTTTTCAGATCCACAGCTTACCTCCTTACCTCTGAAGCTATTTGGTTTGGATTGAAAAATACGACAGCTTTCATTTGTTGGTGCGCAGGCCTTGCTTATAATAGCCGTGGCCCTGATGGTGGTGACCTTGCATTCAGTAATTCAGTCTAGGCAAAGAGTTGAAGATCCAAAAAAAAAAAAAAAAAGAGAGAGAGAGAGAGAGACCATCACCCAGGCATATTATGTAGTGACTTATATTTCTGCCTGCACTTCTGTATTCATTACCTACTATCTTCACAGATGCTTATATACGCTGTACTATATAGTACTGGCTGCTTTATAGAACTGAGTTTCGCCCATATATTCACTCATCATTGCACACTACAATGAGACTGTCTGAAAGCCAGCCTATAACTGAACAAGTCTCCAACAGTCAAGCGATCCTTATCCCTTTGCCAATTGTCCATGTCACGCAACATTTTAAAAGGTATTAAAATTCTAAATAAAGGAGATTAAGGATGCCAAATTCTACTCTGCACTAAAAATGGCAATCAATACGTGTCGAGACAATAATGTCTTTAGGGCCAGAAGATCATTATTCTCTAGACTCATTTTTTTTCTTTTTTTGGTAAAGAGACACTTCATAATATATTCCAACCACCACTGCATCAAACCCAGAAGCTTTTGTTGAGTTAGAGCATTTAAAATACCAGACCAAATTAGGTATGTTTCCCTCTCAAAGTAGAAAAGAGATTTTTCCTTATTAACACTGAATTTATGTTTGAAATACAATACTTTTTCAGTTGAAAAACAGATGAGTTCATACCAATAGCGGAGTGAAACAACCTAGGCACACGTACAGCAAGGTAGTCAACCATTTCTTAAAAGATCAGATGACACCTGTATACTTGAACCACAACCACAGCTCCCAAGAACCACCATCTTATTTTGTAGTGAGATCTTATTTGTTTTTTAATGAAGATGGGTAGTTCTTTGTGCAATTACTTTGACATCTATGTTTATTATGAGAAGTTAAAAGCCTATGTGCACAGCAAATCTGAGAGTGATATTCAGGATAAGCCTTACAAACACGTAGAAAACGGGTAGAAAATGTTTATCACAGTACTTTCCATTTTTACGAGGATGCAGTTGGTTATTATAACAAGGTGAAAGGTCTCAAAGCCTTCATTTTAGGCCACAGGTGTTCTTTGTAGAGGTTTTTTTTAATAACGAGCATTATTAGTCCTTTAAATTAGCTCTTATTGAAAGTTGCCACATCTGTGTTATGTGGTAATGAAGCTGGGGGGAGGTCATAGCAGGGGACTTGTGCTTGTAGAAAACATCTGGACGTTGCTTTGACATTCACTAGCAACTTCTTGTATTTTATTAAGAAGTAAGAAAATTATACTGAAATCAAATGCAAAATTTGGACAATAAATAATAAAACGAAAATGCAGGACCTACAAAAAAAATTCAAAAAAATAACTTTCCCTTCTTCCTCAACCCTCCTATGAATTGCAACCGAAGAGACTAATTACCTGTGCAATGGCAGCATCCGTTAAAAAAAGATTCTACCGGTAATTAACACTTATCTGTAACACTACAGGCATTTTCTCTTTCACAGTAGAAGCTACTGTTATTTTAAATAGGACATATTCTGTACTGTAACTTTTCTGGCTGTCATTTTGTTCACTACCCCATTTCAGGAGGAGGTGTCGTGACTTTAGGAAGCCTTTGTACCTTTTTACATGCCATGCAATTTTCCCTCAACTTCCCCCTGGCTGTTTTAAGCAGAGGGACTTGCTTTCATTCCCAGCAATCGCGCCTATCACTTCCAGTGATGGAAGTAAGGAAAAGTCTACTTGCTGCTGAAAGTGGGATTTAAAAACCAGCACAATCCTCAAGTGAAAGTTGCTGGAAAACTGCACAATGGCTCTTAATTATCAAGGCTGACAACTACTACATTAAGAAACAACTGCATTAAGAAACTTAAAGTCGGTGCTCGGCTGGGTCAGATCACTGTCTAGCCAGCTCCGAGGCCCATACAGCTAAGAACGCTTATAGCGCAGTGTTCACAGCATGCATCAGAAGTCCTAAATTAAGAGTATCATACCAAAGCTCACTAGATATTTTCTTGTTTTAAGTGCTTGCTTACAAATGCAAACCACATTTCTGTTCCATTCAAGTTCTTTTACCGCACTCATCATTTTAGTAACTGAGCATTTTCCAGTACCACAGTAATCTGTCACATGTCATTTGTTCTCTCAGGCAGAGACACATGTGCATATCAATTCATTGTTTTAAGGCCAATTTTTCATTCTTACAAATCTTAGTTTTAATATTAAAGAACTTTTTTCCTTGACACTTCCAGTACAGTGTATACGCACCATAAATTTATTACATTTCTGACTAGAAAGCCCAATGCAAATTCTAAAGGCTTATAAACTATGTTTGGTTATAGCTGTATGAAATTATTACAGATGAACCACACTGCAATTCACCTGTCCCCTCCAAAATCTCAATAGCTGCAAATGAAGTTCACAACATTGCATATCAACATCTTCTAGAAAATGATCATTTAATGTGAATGTGACATGCAAATATTAAGACAGGACACCAGACCTTTTTTTCCCCCTTCCCACTGTGTTTTATTTTATAGCATTTGCATTAGGTAATCAACTGAAACACTTCAACAACAGAAAGCTGGCAGCATAGTAAGGAAGAATGGAGATTATTTCTCAAACAGCTGTGACAAAATGGTTTCAAGTTGGAATAGTATTGCACAAATGAATCAATTTATGGAAGGTGAGTGGGAGCGAGCATCTTCAACATGGATTGTGAGGAAAAAAGGCACTATTTAGCTGTGTGTGTATTTAAAAAGAAAAAAAGTCATGAAGCACAATCCATGTTTTTCAAAATTACATTCAATACCGCTTTAGAAATGCTCACAAACCTGTCTTTTTTTACAGAAGCTACAGAAAGCTGCTGATGTAAGTGTAAGACAGTACAAGTATCTAAACATCTATAATTATGTTCCAGAAAAGTCTTCATGAAGAGGGCTCTTTTTATGAATAGTGCTGCAAAGGTTACATAGTTGCATAGGCTTGTAGTAAAGGATGCATCCATGCAACTAAGCATCCATTACAGTTTCCTTAAGTCTGATCTCCAGTAGTCGTAAAATATGCTCCAATTTTGAAGAGCTAAATTGGCAGTGCACTTGAATTGTTTTTTTTTCAACTGACTGCTTAAACAGCACAGTTAGACAGCATCATCCATACACCTTTTGTCATATACATATTTAGCAACACTAGGTAAGCTTAATGGAAATATTTAACAGAATTATATCAGAAAATAACTGAATTTTCCCTGATATAAAACGGAACTGTTCTGAAATCATAAACAAGCAAACGTATTCCTGGAAAGCAGAAGTGACAAAGTTTCTTCAGAAATGCTAAGTATCCAGAAAAAGCGTTTCAAACGACCAGGACAGACTGCTTCTACCTTTGCCATATTCTATGGCCACAAATTTTGATGCCTGTTTAAAATCAAGCCATGATCTGGGGACCATTAATAAAGAGACTGCTTGAAAATAAATGCAGAGCAAGCTGGAATGTACAAGTAGGCCCCTCCACACGCTAGCACTCTGTCGGCTTACAGAGCAGATTAACAAAACAAGAGTGAAATGCTCGTTGCAAGGATGCAGAATTATCATGGGAAGGAACTAGGAACACTGTTGCTCTCTTTGTCAGCACTGCCCAGGGTATCACTGGTGCTCCAGGCCCAGTGCTGTGGTTATGGCTATGTAGATGCCAGCACAGCCGGACCTAGTGCTGTCATGCTGACATCAAGAGTTTCAAAAAGGGCTAGAGTTTTGCACAAAATCTCAGTGTTAATTTTGTGCAAGAAGAGCACAGAACAGAGTCCAAAATCTACTCTCAACTATATATACGAGCATTTCAGCACCTTTCAAACTAACTTACCCCACAAAAAAGCGAATCTGTCTGCTACAGGTCTCCTCTGCAGAGACTACAGTGACTTCAGCTGCAAGATCTGTGTTCAGGAGGCTGTATGGTAAGTTTACTGATCACACAACCTGCAACAACAAAATTCCATGTATTGCTGCTTTTCAGTAGTACTCATTAAGGGAAAATGCACAAGACAAGTTCTGTTTATATACTGTAAAATATTTTTAATAACAATAATTTGGATTGTTTCCATTTCTGAATAGAAGATGACTAGAGCAGGTTATTAAAAAGCTGTAAAGCTCCTTTTCCTAAACTTCCTGCTTTTAGGAAATCAAAATTGGATAGTTCTTAATTCAAAGGATTCTAAAATGTCCACAGTCGACTTAATGGTTACACTAGATATAAAAGTAGACAGGCTTGATTTCTTCCCTGTTCCACAGACAGTAACATTTGGAGAGTACAACTAGAATGTATATTTCTCCAACTTAAGCTGATATTTTTAAAATTATTTCTACACTGTTGTTCATCTTTTTATCTCCACTCTCAACCTTGTCAGTTCACAACAAAGAACAGGAACTGATATTATCGGATTAAATAAAAAATTTTTTTCCTATATGAACTATGAAAAATATATTGCTTTTCTGAAGGTTAAAAAAATGCCCCTTTTTTTTTTTTTTTTTTTCAAACTGAAGACTCACTCAGTTCTAAATTCTGGACCAAAAAAAGAAAACATAGCTTTAAAAATCGCTTACAGAAAAGAAAAGGTTTCTTGTAGGCCCTACTGAAATCAGTAGAAGTTTCACCGATTGTTTTCTTGTCAATACAGAAGCATTTATGTCTAGATACCTATTTCATTAGTTAGATGAATATTTTACATTTTCACTTAGTAAATGCTTTGTTTAGAATTGCTTTTCTTCTGAAAATTTTGAAGGAAACTCAAGAAAGTAAATGGATCCAAATTATACTGAAGAAAGATAATACAGCCAAAAATAAAATCTAACATAAAATTGTTACCTAGTGGAGAATCTTTATTGGGATTCTAAGTATTCATTTTATTTCAAAAAAAATTTCTGCTTTGTTATGGAAATTTTTAGAACTCCAGTAGCTACTTCTTGTGTACAACTCTCCAACACTTTGGTTCTTCTCTTTAGCTACAAAATGTGTCCTCATGTGTGCACTAACACATCCTATTCCCAAACATGTTGGCATTATTAATGATGTCAACAGACAACTAGAACAGGAAACCTTATGTGTGGTTCATGCTATATAAACAGTAAGCTACCAGAAGGAACTTCCCTGATTACTCAAGAACAACAGAGAGAGATCTATTTTTAAAATTCAAAGAGGCAGGTCAAAAAACTCAAAGAAAATGCAAGATGTACTTGATAGTCTCTCATTATCCTGTCTGTAATTGGACTGTTGCTTTTGGCTGCAAACATCCAGTTCACAGACCCATTTTCCATTTCCTTTGTTTTCATTACAAGAACAAACTGGTTAAAGAAACTCCACTTGGTAATTTTAAACTAAGCCTTCAGCATCATTCCTTAGGAATTTGAACCTTTATCAACACTCTTTACTTTGTCTCTTCAGTGACTTTCCCAACAAACCTTGTGAAAAGCACTTTCAGAAAAGGCAGGTGTAAAATGTGCAGCTACTCAGATCTTTAAGAAAATTCAATAGGAAACAAATTCTTGTAGTTCTCCACTGCCATTTGCTATAAGGCAGTGGCTGCAAACATCTGTTCTCAAATCTCAATTTACTTAATCTACCAGGTGTTTCACATTGTTAATAATGGCAACTCACAAATTTACAATAGTCACATAAGGCAGTTACATAAATACAACTATGTCAAGTTCACTGCATCTTTCTCAACCAGACTACACATTACATTTTTCTTCTTTTCCTCTTAACATAATAAAAGGATGAAGACTACATTTCTGTAAAGAGAATCCCTGGACAATATTCTAGTATTAAAGTCACTGAGGTCACTTGCATTTCAGCCATGTCCAACAGTTAACTCAACCAGGAAGTAGGTGTGATGTTTTTGACTTCACATGTAACAAAACCGGTGCAAAACCACTTCAAACTAGTTACTTTAAACCTTTTGGTCCAAATACATAAAATAAGCAATATCTACAGCATATTTCTCCTTTTGTAAATGCAATGCTTTAAAACACATTATAAAGCACCTTAGTAAAAATATTCTACAGGTAAAAGTAGAGAAGAAGTAGGAAAACTCTAACCATACCACAGCTCACTAATGGAGTCATAATATGGATTCACCAATACCTCAGCTTACGATTATTACAAAGAATCCATGGAGAAACTTAATACTGAATTTACTATTTTTATACGAACATGTAAGCATCAACTAAAACTGCAGACAATCCCAACTTTCTTTGCAGAGTTTTCACAACCTCAGTCAGTGGTGGTGGGGATAAAAAAATAAAAAACAAAAACCTGTTCTTTTAACTTTTTACAAAAATAATGTGGAAATGATGTTTTAACATTAACGATTAGTTGTAATTTTTTAATAAAACCACATATATAAATATGGCAAACTCCAGCAGCAGCAGCATTTCTCAGCAGAACATGATTAACCATCCCAATTAATATCATGTGACATGATGCACAAAAACAAAGCACAGATGTCAACCAGTTATTAACACTACTCATATTGTATACAACCAAAATTTCCACGTTGAAAGCTGGGAAAAAAAATGATTTCCTCTTCACAGAAGTATAAATGAAAATAAATTGCTCTGAAAATTAAAGAGAGCATTAACAGAAGCATTTTTGTTTGTTTTTATTTTCAACTAGAACTGCTGTGCGGTTAATTGCTGCAAATTAAAGTGTAGATTTCTTCAGGTAAAGGGTATTAACTCCCACTGAAAATATTAGTTAGACAAAAGAAGGAAGCTTTTGCTTCTGGATTACCAACATAGTCAGTCAGTATCCAACGCCCTGGAGTTACATCCACAGCCCACTTTTCTCAGATCTATAGAGAAATGTCTTGTAGGTCTACTAGCAATCTAGCTTCCACGGCTGAGGACTAAGACGATGATGTGACCAAAGGTTTAGGTCCATTAATCTAACAGTATTGTGTTCTTAGTTTGATTTAGGATAAATCTTTTCATAGAAAAAGTTTTGAGCCAGAATATACAACTCTCCATCTTTTTCCCGAACTGCATGTGCTCTGACAAACTGAAATTGCTCCAGTGCAAATTCATAGAACTCATTCTCCATTTTCCAGATTTCAGACTGTTGTAGCTTGGCAATAGTTTCTTTTGTGGGAAGTTTTTTCTCAGTTGTTTTCCTAAGATGAGACTTCTTTCCTAAAGAGAAAACGAAAGCCATAACTTCATTTTAAGGTTCATGTGATTAAAAAACATGTACAGTTCTCTTATTTACCGTTTTCTACTCTCAGCATGTTGATAAACCGCATTAAAAGTGACAGAACTTAATCCAGAATTTATTAATGGAACAGGTGGGACTGGAAAATTGCAGTCTCTCTCACTAAATGTTAATGCCTTTTGCATCGGTTCTTTCAATTCTTTCTCCTTACTCTAATAAACCCTGGGAATGAACACTTCATTTAAGGAGCAAGATTACTCCACATAACGTACTTGGAGCTAGACTGCTCTTTCAAAATTAATTATTTAGATGTTAATCTGGATATTAAATGTAAAGAAATTTACAAAACTGCAGAGCCAGAGACTTCTTCCATGAGATACAGACAACCAAAGTGCTGTCAATGCCTTCCCTAAGACGTGACACCTACTGCAAGCGTGTCAGTATTTCATATGTAGGCTCTATACATCAGTTCCATTTCTCCTATTTGCAGACAGGAGCTGTGCTATGATGGACCACTGCCTCATCACAGGTTGCACAGTCAGTTCCTAGAAACCGACCTATTATTAATATGAAAGATGTCTTATTATGAGCCCAGAAAGATGAACGTCTACCTGGACCTTTGTATCCTAAGTGATCCAATGATTTGGGGAAGGGAGAAGACCTTGCAGAGGTAAGACTTAAGCATAAGAAGAAATTTGGATTTTTTACTAAACATAAGATAAAACTTCCAAACTAAAATACTGAGAGGTTGCATGTCTCATGACGATTTTAATGTGTCTCCAAGGTAACATACTTGCAAACTCAGAATGAACACCCTTCTGCCTTCAAAGGTAGTGTTTAAGATTTAGCATCTTGAAATTGCATCTCTTAGGAGAAGGAAAGTTTTCTATCTTTGAAAAATAATCTATTGGCTACTACTACAGACAAATCAGCAAACACCTGCAGGAAAGGAACTGAGAATAAAAACAGAAAACAACATAATGTCACCAAACAAATCCACTGTGAACCTGAATGTCAAATACTGTGCGAAGGATACCGTATGCTAAAAAAGGAACACAGAAAGGCAACGAAGATGATCAAAGATTCCATAGACAAAGGACTCAGATTAGAATTCTTCAGCCCAGAAAACAAGGAATAAAAGGTGAAAATAATGCAGCCCATAAGCTAGGAGTACCTTAAAGAACATTAATTGAGAATTATTGCTCTCAAATTCTTAATAGAAGAAGTAGGGTCCTTAAATGAAATAAGATGACAGATTTAAGACATAAGCATGTCATTTTCATACTAAACTGTATGCTTTTTCAGCTTAACTATGGAACTTCTTGTCACAGGATGCTGTGGCAATTTTATATAAGTTTTTAAAAAGTCAATGAATGGAAGACAAAGTTATCCCCTAAAGTGCGTTTCACTCACTGCTCGGAACTGAGGATGCAGTGATGATTATCGTATGCTTGTCCTATTCCTATGTCCTTCCACTGACATCTGCCAAAAACAAAGCCCCGAATTCCTATGATCCACAGAGTATAACAGCAATCCCACCGTTCTACGCAAAAACATCATCACCTTAATTGCTTCTGAAAAGTACATATTAGAACTTTTTCTGCTAACTTTCCCACAGCTAAGGACATATCAGTTTGCTTGTTATGTGCTGATATTCCTTAAAAAATAATTTGCCATACTGGATCAGAATTTCTAAATTAGGTAGCAGCAGTCTTCAAAATTTCTTTTGTAGTATTTGTGGCTGATTTTAAGAATGCCACAGCTAAAGACTAATTACTACAATTTTTGAAATCATTGTGACAAAAGCAAATTCAAGGAAGCTATCTGACCAAAAGAGTTTCCATTTTCTTGTTTAAACCTCATTTTCCTCCATTCTGTCACCCTAAGACCTAAATCCTGAATACAAGTGCAGACAAGCTGAGCTCTTTCTATACAAAGTCCATCCAAGTCAAAATGGATTTTGCACAGCCAAGCAGATTTTTTGTATTAAGTACTGTTAATGTCTACAGGGCTTCAGAAGGAATAGAAAACTACGCACTATCAGCCACTATACAAAACTGGAGCCTTTGAGACAACTTTCAGAAAATTTCTGATAAAGACCTCCTCCAATTTGCTGAACATAAAAATCACCATAAGCTCAAAATGTAAGTGTGGCATATCTGCCTTTACCCTAACTGCAGAAATTTGCAATCTGTAGACGACAAGATCCTTGGGCTGCCCTCCAAAATTGATATTAAGAGTCTTTTAGAGAGTTTGTTTCTTCCACAATAATATCAGCCACCTGAGAGGTGAATCTGGCAGAGACTCAAAACTAATAATCCAGGTATAAAGAATTCACACTTAAAAAAAAAAAAAAAAGTGAGAAGAGGATGAAGACGATGCAGAAATCAACTATTTAAGTACCTGTTCGATACAGTTCTGTAGCACCCCTGAAGAACCGGGGCAAAGCTGCCTCCAGTAACATGATAAAGTCTTCAAGTTCTTCAGTAACTCCCACTAGGAAGTACTCATTAATCAGATTGTACTTGGCTTGTTCCAAAGCCCATCTGCTTCCCACATTCCTAAAGTGAAAAAGAACAATTAAAGCAAATTCTGATGTCAGCCAACAGTCATTGGTCCCTACATGGAGATTACTTCACAACACAAAGTCAAGACTGGTTTTAAGTTATAAACATCTCTAACTTAGTTTACCTCTCCAGCTTCTGTCATCTGTACTCATATCTAACATCTTGTCACTTCAAGGCTACTCAAAGCAACATTGCACTAATAACTTAGTCGTGAAAAAAAAAAAAAGCCTTATGGTTTTATGTACATGGTTACTGCCTTTATTAACCCCCACCAGAAACTGCATTACATTTTCTCCGTGTCTACAATGAGATTCTCCACTTTCACATTAGAACCAGAAAGGGTTCTGGTGAGAACATACCTTTCTTTTTTGTGTTCTACAAGCATAATTCCAAACTAGAAAGTCATTGCAGTTAACGGGGAGGACTGCCCTTCTGGACAACAAAGAAGGGAATTAAGCTGAATTTTTCCCCCACTTTTTTATAGCTCTAGACAGGGTGAGGAGATAGGTGCAGCCACCTATCTGGCCCAGGTGTACATAGGTCTGAAATAGAAGCTCCCAAGTGGTCACTCGCTTTGCTTATGCTTAAATTAATTTTGTTTGAATAAACAGTAGCCTTGACAAATAATTCCCCTTGGCTTCACTCAGAATTCTTCAAATCGCCTAGGTCCATTTCTAGGTATTAGCATTTTCTCTGTGTGCTTGAATGTAATTGTTTTACATGAGTAAGCAGTTTTCAAATCATAATTTACTAAAGAGTTCTTTAAAATTGTGCTTTTCTTAGAAAACACGCTACATTGAGAGATGGACAGTACTTGCCTTTGTTTTGTGTCATTTTCTGCTAAATATCATTGATTACTGGATGTCTGATACCATTTTAAGATAAACTTATCCTGATCTCGAATATTTTATTTGCCACAGAAACCGTGCAAGCTTGAACGAAATATCTCCATTCAGACAAATAGATATCGTAGCCTGTCTTAACAAAAAAATTGTCATGACTGAATCTACAGAAGTTAGTTTTAGAAGTGAAAACCTCTGTTTTCTCCCAGAGCACTGCTGGTACACCTGCGCAGTATCCTACCATACTGCTTGGTTAAACAACTGCAAGACTGTTTCAATAAAGTTTTTTTCAAAGCATCTTCAAAAAAAAATACTTATAAGTAAAGTACTGGCTGCTACCTTTGTAGGCCTTCACAATTCCCCCAACTGCACTACATATTAAAACTTGTTAAATTTAGATTTTAGCGATAATATACTTGATTAACAACTTAAGACAAATTTATCTGCCTACCAGCATTCTGAGCTGTGGCCACAGAAGAATGGAATTTGAAGCCAAAGTTTCTCTGGAGCACAGTCTGAACCTCCGGCTGCTACACATTCATCAAAGGTCTGGAACAAAGATACAATTGAGCTGAGCTTCAAAGTCCAGTGTATATATCAAACATCTCAACCTGGTTTAGTTGTTAAATGCAGTGGGAACAGAAAAAATGCAAGCTGTGATGTGAAATTAAAAAAAAAAAGTAACTTTTTTTTCAAGCTTTGCTTTCACAATTTTACCTATTTGTCTTAACTAAAAAAGTATTTGGATAGCCTTTTATAATTAGAACTAATCAACAATTTGATCTTACCTAAGCCTCTAACAAAGGTTATGTTAAAAGAAGTGAAAAACAGTCAAAAAGTGCTGGTATCATTGTTTTTGCCTTACAAAAGAAGTCACTGCCAATATAGCATCAAATGCCATTAGCACTTGTGCGATACTGGAACAACTGGATCTTTCCCACAGGACACGGTGCGTTCTGTTCTAGCAACGTTCTACTACCTTGTAAATATTACAACAAAGAATTGCCATTTCAGAGGCTAATTTGGTTTTGGCTTCCAGTCAGTCGAAGGGAAAGCAAGTTGCTTCACTGAGTAGTAGGCTATTTCCTACAACATCACTCTACATGCATGGATAGCTGCAGAGACATATAGTTTCAACTGCAATGATACAGTTACAGTAAAGCCTCCATAAGCATTGGACAGAATTTACAAATATGTTACCCAGTTATCATAAAATAAGCCTTTGTTATATTTCTAGTCAAGATATTAGCCATATACCTGGGATAGATTTTTTTATTATTATTATAATACATAAGTGATCATATTCAACTTAAAAGACAACTTTCAATTATACAGAAGAAACATCTAAAAAGTTTACCTTCAAACCAAAGTGAAAATACTTTTGTGTAGTTATTCTGTGTTATAACAAGAACAGGCTTTGCTTTTATTCTAAGGTGAAATTCCTGAGATAATCTGAAAAATTTATTGATACCAGGCCAATGCAGGGATTAACCAGTGATGTCTTGCTCCACACTGCACTTTTACTGTACCTCATACGTATTACCTATCACAGGTAAACATGCAGATTCTTTAATTAGGAAAACAAGACATTTGCATGGTTTTTCTACTCTAGAGATACACAGGATACAAATGAGTTCTCTAGAAAAGTTCTGCGCTGGTCCATCATGAATATTTTACAGCATCAACATTACCTGAGACCTAAATTGTTCTAAATGTATATGGCTATCTGTCTATATGTATATATGTGGTCACTCCTAACTTATGAATACATGTACTAAACATGAAGGGATATTTGTCTAAGGAAAGATTTCTTCCGTTATACCTGGGAGATATTTTACAGTTAAAACACTTAAGAAAGTAAGTAATTTTCTACGTAAGATGAAATAGGACAGGTCTCCTTCCCCATTTCCTCTTCCATACACCTCTTGATGGCTCCGTCCAAGGATTTTAACACAAGAAACACTTGTCCTTACAGATTCTGTTATCGGAGCAAAGCTATCTGTAACTTTGAGAGCACTGGGACATAGAAAGAGTATGAATGAGGAAAACTTCCACATATGCTCTGTGGTATGGGTGCAGGCAGAGGGGTGGGCACGTGCGTGTAATGAACATTGAGATTCCTCTCCACTTAGTAAGGGCACAACTGACTTCCATTCTCAAGACTGCATTTTTTACCTTCCCTACTTTTTATTTGAAGAGCTATCATGGTACCTACTATAACACAGTTTAGAATCAGTCAGTGTTATAAACACCATCTTTACACAAACAGTTTTCTTAAAACACTATGGAAAAAATGTTTAAAGACGATCTAAGAAACTTTAAAACTCGGTAAATGAATTTCATTTGAAATAAACCAGAAACGCTTACAGGACAAGTGAAATCTGTGTGGCAACAACTAATGTCTAAAACCTAAATAAAATGACATATTAGTGACAAAATGAAAAAAAGCACCATGAATACAGAAACAGAAAATTATTAATGCAATGCATTAGGATATTAAAAATTGGAATGAACTTCACCTTCTTCTAACAAATTAGAGCTACTACCTAAAGTGCAGTCTACTGAGCAGTAGCATTGGGTGCTTTAGCTTAATATTTCCCAGTATCTACCGAAAAAGTCTGTCCAGATTATAATTCAAAACTGAAACAGCAATTTTAAATTTAATTTTTTAAAAATAATAAGTCCTATAAACACAGCTTGGACTCAGAAGCCTACTGAGCTTTCCACCTCCTTCATCTCTACCAGAAAATAATTCTGCTGGCCAAATAAAGCTCCTGATGAAAAAGGAGAGAGTAGGTCACAAAAGGCAAGATTCTCTCTCTCTTTTAAAATGCCTTTATGATACCATAACATCACATCATCTCTGTAGTGAGACTACGAAGATACATTTTTACCCATTTTTTCAGTTACTGTTCTGCTTGAAGCTTTCCTCTACCTATATAGTAGGATGCCTGGACAGACAAACTAGAACGCAGCAGCAGAAGATGGCGCCATAACCTTACTAACAGAGAAGAACGGTATAAGCTGGGAAGATAAGAGAAATACTCTCTTCTCAGTATTTAAAAATCACCCTTTTGGAGAGGAGGTGGGGCAGGGAGGTGGAAGGGAAAAATCATTAGTCAAATTTATTAGTTGTTTTGGTGGTGTTTATAGATTTGCATAATGAAAGCTCTATTCAGTGTGATTTCTCTTACTTAAATTTTTAATGTCCCTTGGTATTAGCACAATGCTACATCAAGTTTCAAATGTTTTTCAAATGAAAAACTTAGTTTAAGAAAACATATTGCCATTGAAATTTAATAAAAGGGGTTTGTGCTTGGCAAAGAACAAAAAACCTTTATTATAAAGCTTCCATCCTGCTTATATAAATATAAGTATATCCTATACTTATATAAACTCTATTTATATACATAATATCCTTTTATCCTTGATTTAAGCAAAGGCCAAGGCAACATGCTCCAATAAATATCTTACCAGAAACCATTATCATGAAGATGTAGTCAGCTCCTAGAATAAATGTATTATGGTGCCTAGTTGAGGTTGCAGCTCTGAAACTGTAACATTAATCAAGGTTCAAACAAGCTAAACTTAACTACTCCTAACCTCCCAAAACACATGAAAGAAGTATAGGAGTGTATCATTCGTACTCATAGCTTTCAAGGGGACTCCTTTTTTGTTATAATCTCATTGCAATATTTACTTTCAAAAAAAGAAAAAAGTTAGGTTGCTAATAATAAACAAAATGAATGTCAAAGTCAAAACATCAGCAGTCCTACAGCTTTTAGTATAGACTGTATCCAGTTTAGTTTTCAACAAGAACAGATACAGATTCCTAACATAGAAGGATAAGCTTAATTTGATACTTACATCTTTGGATACAAAAACTTTTTTTTTTTTTAAACAAATGTCAACATAAAATGAATTTATGTGATTACAAAGAACATAGTTAACGTCACATTCTGGCCCAGTACTGACACCAACCAAAGAATATCACCTGCGAAGCTACCATCATCACCAGTACTGATACAAGAAATATTCAGCTTTCATCAGGACATATTTAATTGCTTTAGCATTAACTTCTGTAAGAACAACATACATATAGTAAAGCCTACTTTACCTTTTTATCCCCCTGTTTTCGTCTTCGTAGCCCTGGTCTGTAATCATCTCCAAAGCGCAGAAAGTAATAGTAAGAAACTAATCGTTCTATAGGATCTCTTATGACGTTTATGTAGATTGGTTTCTTTTTCACACCAAATCTAAAGTAAGGGAAGAAAAAAAAAACACCCACATTTTTCAAAGACAAATCAAAGAGTTTCTCATGCAGTACTTACAAACCTGTCTCCATTGATACAACTGAAATCTGTGTACAGAGAAGTTGTGAGGAAGTTTAATGACTACTTTTTTCCATCCTCATATCCAGCACACTACGTGGATGCATAAGTCAGTTCAAATGTAGTATTTCTGGGATTTTTTTTTTGTTTAGTGAAACAAAATATCAGAATATCCTTAAAATAGCTCACTTGTGAGTAAATTACATATCACACAATAGATACTAGAAGTGTTTATACAATTATCCTGACTGCAGAAACACCTTCATTAGCCTAGCAGCCACTTATTAATACCAAGTAGGTACTCAGGAAGCTCAGCATCGCGTTCCTGCCTCCTGCAGTTGCTGCCCACTACAGTGTGCTCTGCAGGGAGGCAGGTGGCTTTCCTGCTGGGTCCCCAGTTGTCAGAGACATAAGCTGCAAGGAAGCCCAAGCTCAGAGCCCGTCCATCGCCTGCACTGGCTCCATATGGCTATGCTTACTAACCATGACATAGTATCTGAAACCATACTGATTTGTCTATCTAAAAGGTATAAAATACTTATATTTAGGCATTTTTAGGGTCAGCAACTTTTCCTTAGACATTGATCTAAGGAAATCTTGACTTAATGTGGTACAAACTGGAAGCTTGATTAAAAAATGTGTTGATAAGCTCACAGGACATATGAGAAAGACTTAAGCAGCTAGAATTGTTCTGTACAAATGCTACCTTTCAATGGCTCATGTTCAAGACAGCTTTTATAATAGATTTTTCAAATTTTTTCTAATTCTTTTTGAGACATTTTTGTGGCAAAAAAATAAATACACTATTCAGACATTAAAGAAGGCACATCACATGGGAAATTAATGCAATAATGTGTAGTGCCCTGAAGTAAAGCTAAAAATTATTTTAAAAGAGCTCTTATATTTACATGCAGTCAGGCTGTGAAAGAGTTCTGTATTGAGAGAAGACCACTTAAGCCTACCAGCTTAGCTAAAACAGAGAGTGTCCGTGATTTTAAGACACAGTGCAGTTAGTGTTAAAGTAGCATTCGGTAATTTATAATACTGTGTACTGCTCATATGAAGAAACTTCGGTTGAAAAGATGAAGAAGAGAAACATAATAAATAAAATAAACACCAGGAATGAGGAAGTTAAAATATAATTAAAAGGCATTACTTTGGCAAAAGACCAGCACTACAGATACAGAAACTGTGAAAACCTAGAGAAAGAATAATTGAGCCTTCAGATGTTGACAGCAGAGTTCCAGTTAATCAAGCTATAGCAGTTAAAGAAGTCATTGCTCCCAACTGCCTGTTTGCTGCCTTTTGGGGGTAAGAGCTGGTGCAGTGAGGTTTATGCATACTTCAATCTTTTTGACACAAAGTCCAGAAACTTTGAACTACACACTCTTTTCGGTCCACTGAAGAGCCAGAGACATGCTCATGTGTCTCCTTCTACAGACACTGCTGGAAGTGCAGTAGAAAGCTGTAACAAACCATTCAGAGACAGCAACAGCCTAAATATGTATCTGTGGGTTGAGCAAACATAAAGCCCTTGAAATGTTTGCATAGGATTGTACATTCATATGAAATTGTGCACCATCTCGCACCACTAGCTTCAATTATGATAACATAAATGACTTTTATTATAATAACGTAACAATAATGATTCAGTAATTGCATTATGTCAGATGAAGAACTTTGTTCCAACCATTTACAAACGAGAAAATTAGAGAATGAAGGTGGGTCAGCAATGGGGAAGGGAGGGAAATCAAACTTACTACTGCTATTACTAGGTTGATGGGTTATGGTAACCTGCCCTTGATACCATAAGTCATTGATTGAATCCAGTACCTCTAGCCTGAGCATAATTTAAGAGGCATTTCTGATATATTACAGTGAACCTACATCCGATGTCCATGTATAACAAGCAGGAAAAAAAGGAATGGACTTTTATGAAATATTTCACACTTCTCAATTACCAGAAGATTCACTAAAGTACGCACCTCACAGCTTTAAAAGGGAGGGCCATGCCAAGCGTAACTAGAGTATTCAATATATTATTTCAATAATGAAAACCACAAGTATGAAAAAAAAAAAAAAAAGCTGTTGTGGGGAAAAAAATAAGTCATTTAGATGAAAGGGTAGCAAACAACAAACACAAGGATAACGCAGCCCTAGAGGGAAGTATGCAGATGAGTGAAACCTAAGAAACTGCTTAGATGCCTTTCTAAATGAAAAATAATTATATCAGTTTAAAAAGTTCCAATATGTAAAAATACTTTCAGCTTTATGAAATGAATAATGTATAAAATAACATTCACCTTGGCTGTTCCAGAAAGCTGTTATTCCAATAAAGGTTTTGTTCAATGATTTATTAATGTAGCTTTTTAACTTTAAAAAGGCAGAAGGGAGGCTGATGAAATTTGATACATTTTATTTATTTATTTGCAATAAGACCTCTTGTCTGTTACTTTTTGTACTCTAAAGCTTTTACTTGGTGCCATTGCTAACTCCCAGCTACTACCATAGCTGTTAGCATTTTCTATTATATAATCTACTCCGGGAATCTATGAAATTCTCATTTTCCCTTTTCATTCCTCATAATAAAAAGAGGAAATTCAACATTAGCACAGACAACAGAATGAATCATTAAAAGTAACGACCAAACAATTAAAAACTCTTACATGCAAAAAACTCAACAAAATCAAGTGCTTTAATACATAGAAGCATAACACTACCCTAGACTGACCAGCAGCAAGAGGTATAAGCAGTGGTTACTGCTGTTTGCACACAGGATCCTGACAGCTGAAGGATCAATACCCACTTTGAATTTTAAGCCATTTCCCTCATGATGCAAGTCTGGGATGAAGTAGTGCACCCTAAGCAAAACTGACTTTTAGTTCATGGGGAGGTTTCACAGTGCTGACCTCCTGCGGATCACAGCTTTAAATCCAGAAGCAAAAGTAAGATCTTAAACCCATCAAGAAAAGAAACACATGGGAGAGGGAATATGGATATGATCCCGCACCTTTGACATCACTAGGAGAATTTCTGCCTCCTTTTCCTTTCAATCGATTTTAAAAGTAGCTGGATTCAAGTCTGGAAGAATTATTTCTATGTTTTTTACTACAAGTCAAATTAATATTAGCCCAGAAAAGTAAGTGCTTAAAAATACAACGTGGTAGTATTTTGATAAAGTGTAAAGGGATACTCTGAAAGCAAAGAACTACATAACCTAAGAGATAGGTGGTATTACTTTTTAGATGAAGCATATTTGAGAACTGTTATCTGTAACATCCCAGACAGACAAGCCAATCACTAACAATCAGCGTGCCATAAGAAAAGCTAGAATATTCAGGCAAAGCATTCTTGTAATTCAGCCAGGGAATACTAATCTTGGCACGCAAATAGTTTGAAATTGGACTCCGCTACTTGTTATCATGCAAAAAGACATGACAAAACTGTACTGAAAATTGAAACCAAATATTGCTCATCTGAAGAAAAAATTTGAGCATTTGAAATTTTCTTAACAGCAATTGTCAGATTTTTATCACTAGAGGGCAGTAATATCCCAGATGGATCCAAGCAGCTTATTTAAAACTACTCTGCTACTCAACAGATAAATCCATGGGTAACATACTTTGCAAAATCCAAATAGGATACATGTCCATGGTAAAATCCTGGTTTCATTTCCTTCCAGGAAGTCACATTCTTCACAAATCGGACCTGTAAAGGTAGACAGCAGAAAATGTTTCTGTACAGCCAGAACACATCAGGCTTTGCTTATATGGTGCTTTCTGTTCCGTAAGTAAAACCTGACAACGCATTAGGAGAAAGCATATTGTTATGAACATTACCAAAGAATTTTCACCAACTAAAGTAGGTTTTTCCGGTAGTATACATGAGATGACTCTAACATGAGATGACTCATGTTAGATCATCACAATCTAATAATCAGAAACTAATACAAAGCATAATGCAGAAATCAGAAGGGCAATTCAAGGAAAGCTACCCCAAGAATACAATCAATACAAACATTTAATTTGTTTTTCCAGTTCATCTTATCTGTAATTTGAAAGCGATGCAGAATTTCCTCAGCAAGAAGAAGAAGTAGAAACGCCAGTATACCTTTGACGAAATTGTCTAACTTGTATCCAGTCCCTCACATTAAAGCATATCAGATTTGCAAGTATATTTGTAGACCTATTTTACTGGGACATAAGAAACAAATCTGATGGTTCATTTGCTCCCCCTTTCCAAAACGCAATGCAAATTTTTGAAAATGTATACAGTGTGAATTAGATCTACATTTTATCACTTCGAATAGTTACTTTTAAGACTAACATCTGCCTCAGCACAACTTCCCAAAGATCACGTAAAAGCATGAAGCAGTCCTTAAACAAGGGCTGATAAAGCATCTCCTGGCAAACGTCACAAAAAACAGGAATAGCTTTACATTTCAAAGATAATAAAAACAGACACACACCCCCAGACCAGAAAGTATGATGAAATTAAGTGGGACATGCAAATGCTGATACAGCTTGGCTTCGTTAGAACAAAATATTTTAACATCAAAGCATTTAGCTCTGAAAGTTATTTCAAAACTAGTGAACTGTATAATAAAGAAAAGATAATAAATCTGTACTGCCTGAGCTGTATGGCAACGATATGCCGTTTCTGAAGCTAAGAATGAGACAGTAGTTTATTAACATAGTAGGAAAGCACACTTAAAAACCATTTAAAAATCACTTGGAAAGCAAGCAAGATATTACAACTGCAGCACAGAAAACTGCAAAGCATCGTACCATAACAAAGCTCTGTTCAACAGAGAATGTTTTTGGTAACACGGATACATAGAAGTATCACAAAATACTTTGGTTTCACAGTGCATAAAGAGAAATACAAATGACTAACATGTTAGTCTTATGACAAGTACAGCTTTACAAAGAAACACAGAACCTTTGTTAATTTAATTTTAAAAAGTAGAAGACAAATTCAGGACAGAGCAGTTTATTTACAACTGCTCTCTGTAAAATTCTCTGCACATCTACCATCTCTTTCCGCTAAAAATAACAGATAACTAGAAAGACACAGAGGCGAGACGGACGAGTCAATAAAGAAAAGTCTCAGAGCTCAAGACAATATGCTAATATTTTGTAAAGTGTAATGGATTGAGAGTGTCCTGAAACCTGAAATAAAAATCCATCAGTGAAGGTTTCAATTAGCAAAACTGGCCTGTGCAAAATTTGCTGCCTCTGATTTGAAGAGGTTCATAATCCTTACTTAACTTCTTCGAATACTGGCTCTTGGACTCTCAGGTAAAAGAAACTGATACTACTTTTTAATTATAGGCAGCATTCATTCTTTCAGTGACACAAAGTATCACAGTCTGTGGCATTTCAGAACTTAAACTATATACTGCACATGAAAACTGTGGCAAATGTATTTGAGAAACACTGTAAAATGTTATACAACTGTGTTTTGTAAACTGTGTTGGCTTCCCGTCTCTTCCTGGGTGCAACACAAAGTGATAATGCATCCACATGACTTGGAATCCAGTTGCACTACCTACGCTCTTCAAACAAACTACATTTTCATTGACTCTACCTTTCAAAGATTAGTGACAAGATATATATTCAGTGGAGAGCCTTAGCTATAAACATTTATTTAACCTGGTAAAGAAGTTCTCTAAATGCAGAGTATATATTCTCCTTCCATCTCCCCCACCCATCCATGTCTTAAAATACCTTTGCTAAGGAAATCAGCATTTATAAACATAGGATTGTTACAGATGAAACCAAAATTTCACTTGTATCCCAGAGACCTGCTGGGATGTTTAGCCTTTCAGCCTTTAGCTAATGCTTGCCTGGGCTGACTGTTAAGGCTAGGACAAGGCTAGGAAGGTCTTGCGTGGCAGCCATGACATTTACATCCACCTTAAGAAATGGCCCAGCAACAAGCTGTGCCACTGAGAATTTCTCAAGTTTTTAACACCTCTAACGAGCCTGCACACTAGAAGTTTCTCATAGTTTGCAGCATTCCAAAAATCGAAATTGTTCCAGGTCACAGACAGCCTAATGAGTCAGGATTCACACGTTTTAGGGCACAGACGAATACTGCTTGCTGTTTCCTCTTGTTAAATACGATCAATTCTACCTTTTTTCTCCAGGCTTAGCAGACAGCGGAGCTTTCAAGAAACTGAGCAAGCTTCTGTATCTGAACTCAACCGAATAAAATCTGAGGTTGTTTTAAAAGTTCAGATAAATGTCTATCAATTCCTGTGAAGCAGTTTCATGGTGCTTTTAAACAATCAGCTACAAACGTGCTTCGCAGCTTTTAGTAAGTGAGAAATCAGCTGAGCTTCACTGAATTAGAAGGTCAGATGAAACAGACTCAGGGCATAAGATGTCTTGGAAAGGTAAATTAAATACATTCAGTTTTTAGGACAATTGGAATTTAAAACAAGTCCCAGTGATCCAAAAGGAAAAAAACAGAATACCTAATCCGAGCAAAAGCCTGGGGAATCTGTGCAGGCAAACCAAAGTGATGTTCTAAGCTATTACTTTTCCTTTGTCCACCAATTACTTCCATTAATCCCTCTCCTCTACAGTCTTAAAACACACACACAGCCTACCACCAAAGGTGGTACGGTCATTGCCCTTACGGTCTGGTATCACATGGACTTCTGGATACTGAAAATGTCCCAGTTTTTTATGTTATAGGTTTGCTGGTCAGTTGCTGTATCTCTGACAAAACGATAAATAGATTTTGCCCTTCTTTATCAGGAACAAGCAATGAAATGGAATAGTTTGATGAGTAGTGTTTGTGGTCAGAAGACACTATGAGTTGTCCTTTGTTTAAGGTGAATGTTAGTGACGATTAGTGTTTCATGCTAAATCATTCAAAGCACTATTGTGGCCAGAAAGCTGTAAGAGCCAGCCTTTAGAGACAAGATGGCCAAAATAGGATTCCACAGCCAGTTCCCTCACTCTTGGCGTAAGCATATCAAAGATGAGGGAATACATACCATAAGCCCAGCCTGGAGAAGATACACGAGAATTGTCCATTTTGAACCATAAAAAAAAGACGGAGCTTTCAAGAAAGAGTGCACATCAACAGTGTCCCCATTCAAAGAAATCTCAGATTCAGATTTAAAGACCAAGTACAAGGGGATGATCGAGTTAGAATCCCTCTGCAGAAATCCGCTGGTAGCTTCGCTACACAAGTTGTCATATAAGCTAATAGTTAGCTCTAAATCAGAATCAGAAACAGGCTACCAGCACAGCTTTTGGCTTCATGCCGTGAGAAACCACAGGAAAGCCCAAGGCCAGGCAGGAGAGAAGAAATTTTGTGAGACGGTGACAGGACTAAGTCTACCAGTTCAGTCATGGTAAAGCCAGGATCCCTGTCTAGTGTGAACAGTTCTTCCCCAGGAGGAAAAATACAATTGGCACAGGTATGGAGGTGGACATTAGTACATACCAGGCTACCTAACTAAAGTAAAAAAGTTCTTAAATGCTAAACACTGTATGATGGTACTCCCATTTGTAACAGAGTCACTGCAAACTTCCAATTCTAACAGAGACACTGCAGCCTTTCTTTTACCAGTTGAGGAAATATGTACTATTAAAGTCAGTATGAGTGCGCTATCCTCTGGGAGGCCACTGCTCTAGAACAGATTTGGAAGCAAGGTCATTCGTTTTCACGTTGCTCTTTTGAGAAAAAAGGAGCAAGACATTGCTGGATAAGAAAAGAACAAGGAACAGAAAACAACAAGCTGAGACAGTTAAATGCTGGACAATTGTACCACAGCTTTTGTATGCTCACAAGAACAGTATGCAGAATGTGTTCTCATATCCTCTTTTCTAATATTGTATCAGAAATACATGCTGCAAGATGGAATACTAATTTGGTTTTAAATGCGTTAAATGGTACTAATTCGCCACGCAACAAAAAAGCTAAGATTTACGTGGCTGGAATGCTATCCAAGCAGCCACCCACAAAGGCATACTTGTATGGACAGAAAATATCAGTACTGATACAGGCAGGCAACAACTAAAATCCTATCAAATGGCTACTTTATTTCCATTGAAGCATTTTTGTTATTATAAGTCAGAAATGTAACATGGTCAACCAGGTACTCAGCTTGCTACAAAGAAAAGGCCAATCTGTGAAAAGAGGGACAGTTACCAGGACACTGCCTTCAGAAGAGCAGTAAAAGAAAGCAATGCTGCTGGAAAAATCTCCATCTGAAACTAAATTGGATGTGCTAGGGACTCTTATTGGATTATCTAAAAGCAGATACAGTTTATATTTGGAATGGATTTTCAGTAGGTTTTTTCAGATTGCATTCAAGAAGTAAAGGTTTCACATATGGGCAGAAAACTTGAAACCCATTACAGGATTAGAATAGTTTGGAAAAAGTACAGCAGAAATAGCATATAACAGAGATAGCTATTTTTAAAAAAATGTCTTTGTCAGGCCAATCAAGACAACCCTCAGCTTCCTTGGGGAGATCCGTTTTAAGAAATAGTATCTCTTATAAAAAAATTTTGCCTCTAAGATTTGTTTATGTATTTTACTCCTGGTACATGTACACCTAACATGCTCAACTCAGTGGTACTGATGAAGGTGGTAATGTGAATATCTCATGCACATCCAAGCCCACAAAGATTAAACCTACACCAACTACTACTCAGGTCCTTTGCTATCTCCAGGAATGTCTGTTATGACTTTAAGGCAACGGCAAGTTGCAGATCATATATGCAGCATATCTTGATATGCTAAAGACAAACACTCCTTCCTTGAACAACGGTGTGATGTATAAACATTTTCATTATTAGCATTTCCCTGTTAATGACCGCTTAAAGAGGAAGAATATCAATCATCTAATTAAATAACACAATCTACCACCTTGGACAATGGCATAGCATCAAATGAATGTAGGACTGCCAGCGTTATAGACATGCCCAGGGAAATTATTAGGGGAAAAGTGAGGGTAGAGGTTCTCCAGACAAAACTAAGCTAGTAAAGAACAAATTCGATTTGAATGACACCCAAAGTAGACACGTAAGGCAAAGTTGTAAGAAAACTCTCTATGTTCAATCTACATCATCAGTCTCTCCTACACCAAAGGCACACCATCAAGCTCTCCTGTCCTTCTGGACAGACCACTACCATTCAAAAACACATCTTCACAGAAATAAAATCAGTAGTTGGAAGGGCAATGGGATTGACTTGAACAGGATTTTTAACTAACAGATACAGACTTCTTAAACCTTTTGGAAATTACTCTGCATGGCTTTTAGTACTTGCTTTACCCAGTGGACAGGACTATGGGGATGGCTACCCTACATATTCCTTAGCAAACTCAGCACACAAGTTCAACTTCTGACAAATCAGAAAGCATCCAGAATGACTGGAATATGGACCTAAGCTTCAGTCCAAACCAGGGATAACATCAGTTTATAACTCATTTGAAAATCAGTACCTAAGGCTAAGAGAACAGAGCTCTGCCATTTCCAGCTACCACTTCAGAGAAGAAATTTCAGACAGCTAGACCCTCATGCTTATCCCGCTGTTTTCTCAGATACTCTTGTCACTACTGTGCTTACCATCTGCAAATTTAAGAAGGGAATTCCGTAACACCAAAATCCCAACAGTGACATAGGCCCGCTATCACAAAACAGGTCCCAAATCCCACTGCAAGCTCACTGTGTCCCCTCCACTGAGATCCCTACCTCACTCTCTCACATACTGAACTGCAAGTGGAGATCTGGCTATCATCTGTTTTTCGTTTTTTTTTTTTTTTTCAGACTACAGCTGTGCTGAGCTGCTTCTGCCTGTAGGCACGCAGCAAGAGGACCTGGGAGCCTATGTGCAGATGTGCTGCAATGCGGAACAGCTTCTGCTGCATATCATCTTAAGGTGATCAGCATACAACCAGTAGTAGTATGTACCCAAGAGTTTGGCAATATCTCCTTTACAGCCCAGTGGACATAAATGATGTTTTAGACCTCTGACTTGGGTTCCCTGCATGTGTACTCACCAAGAGCAGAAAATTATTATTGGAAAAAAAAAAAAAACCCCCCAACCCCCCCCCCCCCCACAAAAAAAAAAAAAAAAACACACAACAAAAACACAAAACTGACAACTACTTGAAGAAACACAGAACCAGGACCAAAGAGGAAAGCATGTAAGACTTCATCCACTTTAAAGGGAGATGCCCGGCAAACATTATTGTACAAAACCCTACACCTATTACTTAATGAAATAACATCTGCTCTCCTCATGTACAAAGAAAGTGTAAAAATTATGTTGAAATTCATTCATTTTGGAAAAATGGAAAATAAAGTAATAAAAGCCAATTCCATCAAATCACATATGCTTACAATAGCATATAATTATTCTTTATTTTTCCCCTTGTTTAATAAAAACACCTCAAATGCAGCAGCTTACCTGATCTTGCAGAGACATAACAGGATTATTTTTGGTTGTATTGATATGTAGAACATGATATTTGTTCTTTGCACAAAGATCATAGGCAATATTTGTGAAGGATGTGCTGGCAGTTTTAGGTACTCTATTGTAAATAATCACCACATCATCTTCTTCATCCACTGCCACATCTTGTCGGGGCCCATCTACTGTGTGACGTTGTTCTATTTCTCTGACTTCGTGTCTTGCAATGGCCCTTTCTGTTAAGGGTAACAGACACAAAATTTTAATGTAATATTGTCAGTTTTGAAATTCAAACCTTAAAATGCAAAATATAACTTGGTGAAAAGCAATATCTCCTTACCAATAAAGGAAACACTTGCTGTTACATAATTCTGACACATGTAGAGCAAAACTTAATCTATAAAATGCATGAATAATAAAAGGTGAGCTGGCCTGACACAGAATGAACTGACAAAAAAAAAAAAAAAAAGGAATTAAGGGAATATGTACCATATTCTATTACTCAGGTTAACGCTACCGAAAGCCACCGTCTTTAAACAAAAGTCTCTAATGCATCAATTAGTGGCATCTTTCCTAATAAATCCCAAACAACTTCTATGAAATACCCACTATTTAAAAAATACAATAAAAGGAATAACTCAAGAAAATTAGAGTACAGAATATGAATTTTCCAAAAACAGTAGAATCACTAACAGTACAGGTCTAGTCAATTAACTGTGTAGAGGCACTGAAATTCAGATGCAACTAATGTTGTCCTTATTCCAGTTAAGACAAGCCCCAAGCGTAAAGCTTTACAATAAATGGTTTTGCAAAAATCTAAATAGATTTATTAATTTCAAGTTTGATAAGAACAGAAGCAAGAGATGCTTATGAAACAGTTAACGTTAAGGTAAAAAGTAACCTCTGAGTACTGAAATACAAACACGTTAAAACATGGCAAAAACAAGCTATGAACAAGATACACTTTGCCAAGATGAGTACTTTATAAACAAACCATTTTTCCGTTTATACAAAGGGTAATAATATTCTGAGTAACTGAACTCTTCAAGTGCCATAAGCCTATTTGGAAAATAAAAAGCAGACTATTATAGCATTATTTTTTTATTTATTTTTGCTGCTGAATACCAAATACTCCATGCTGATTCAGACAAGCGTTTGCTCTGTTCTAGGTAATTATATTTTTTAATATGATTTACAAAACAGATATCAAAGCATCTTTCCCTCTTCACTTATTTTGATACTACTTTTAATAATGTACTTAAAGAAATTTATGTTGGCCAACAGCGCAAGCTGAAGTTGGTACCACGAGACCAACCTGCAATTCTCCATGTTAGGTTCCCATATAGGGCATGACACTCTGGATTACACACCTATAAGACAAGAGCAGCTGTTGGTCTTTCCTTCTCTTGCTTCCTGTAACTCAGCTGCTTTTATTCTCTTTCACCACATATGTAATTCAAACATAAAACCACTTTTAAAACAGAACCATTAAGCTGTGAACACCACTAGCCTATAATTCCACACAAGTTGTCTTCAACCACAAACTTCCATCTGTCTGAAATGCTTCAAAGCTTAAACTCTCTCTCTCATATGCTTGTATCTCACACCCTATAACTAAGTTATACCAGTATGAAAACGTTTGTAGAACATGCCTATTGAGTACATCTCAATTTTCCACATGACATCTGTTGCTCCCCACTACGTCAGTCACAGTTTTTGCTCCTTCCTTTCTCATTTGCTACCTCTCCCATCACTGCTGGCAAACCTCCTGCTTTGGAAAGCAATGAGGCAACTATCTCAGGTTTCATCCAACTGAAGACAGCTACAATGAAAAGTAACCAGTGACTCCCTTCTTGCCACGTTTGGATCAGATAGGGACACAACTTAACTGCTTGGCTGCCCAAAGCTACATGGATACTGAACAGCATCTTGAAAGGCTGAAATGAAATCAATGTAAATTTAATTTTCTATTTCTAGTGTAACATGCCTCCTCTGGATTCAAACGATTACTTCACAAAACCCCAAAGCTGACAGGGCTGGAAGGTACTGAGGAAAGCCTCCCAGTTTATGGGTATGAAGGAAACATTTGTGACAAACAGACATGATTCTTAAAGAGTGCCAAGAAGTGCTCCTGTAAAGAGATATTTGAAATCACGATGACTCAAGACTGAGTGTGGTAAGTGAACTTTAAAGGCTATGCATAAGATATAAAATGAATACGTATGATTAGGTGCAACCGGCAGAGAAGCTATAGCATACAATCACCTTAAACGTAATATTCTAAGGGGAAAGCAAAAGCCCATGCTGAACGGAGAATTGCCACAGACATGAAGTATGTTGACGCTTTTACTACCACACAAAAAGTAGGCTTTAATTGCAAATCAAAATGAAAACTAATTTTTATGATGAAAAACTGAAATCAACTTTTTGAAGTAACTGCAACAATTAAATCCAAAACCAGAAATAAAGAACAGGATATAAACTGCTGAAGTGCTAGGGAAGATAAAGCTAGTGAGAAGCATATAAGCCACCTGACACCATCTGACCTGTTTCTCCATTCTAACAGTCTATTTTATTGTAGTCCATTAATAATAAAGAAAATTGCACATTTTGTAAAAATGTGTATTTTTTCAGTTATGAAAAGTTTGCAGTGTTTCCTATGAAGTCAGGAAGCTTCTCTGCTGCTTTCTGAAGAGTCAACCTAACTGTTAAAATGGAACGTAATTTGACCCACATGAATTTTATTTATTTATTGCAGGGAAGAGGTCTAGTAATGGTGACGTGAAACTCAATTGTCTTTCAGATACAATGTTAATCAAATGCCTATCAACGCTTCAAATTCTCTATGTCCTGATTGCCTACTTCATCTGCTGGTCTACAAAATTAATTGATATTTACGTATTCCTGTAAGCAGCATTGCTGTCAATAGTTGAAAAATGAACTCTGCTTACATGATTCTTTTCTGAATTGCAATGAATGTTTTAATGATTTTTTTAAATATGGAAGATGGGAAGGAAGTTGCTGCTAGCCATATATTAAATATATTTCTGTTTACTAAAAAATGTCTTTAGATGACAGCCCTGCAAATTCAACTTCGATTACAGGGACTTTCTATGAGGAAGTTGGAATGGTTTCACTGAATTTAAAAGAAAAAAAAAAAGTATATATACCTATCAATTCATTTAGGTTAGGTCACATCTCATTAGAGACCCTGTGGACAAAATGATGTCCTACAGTCTCGTTGCTTTCAATTTCAATCTGATTTTTTCAGGAAAACAGCTAGGCAAAATTGTCAAGAGCCAAACCTCTCAACTGGATCAAGACGGTCCACACAGAAGTTTTGCATCAACTAACTAAATCAATTTTAAAACTTGACCAGCATTTAAACAAGTGGTACTCCGAACACTCTTGAGAGTGGTACTCTGAGTAAAAGGCTCACTCTTTACAGCCTGTTTGGATTCACTGTAATAAATAATATCCTCTCAATACCGGGTGGGGGAAATGCTGTTCCGTCATCTGCAGTCGTTTCCTGTGCAAACTTTCATTCACGTCAAGGAGAGCCTGCACACAGATGTACCATAGACACTTGGTGTAAAAAAATATAGATACACTGATTATTCACCAGCAGATGAACTATTTGCAGAATTTCTTCAATGGACAGAAGTAGCTGATTTGTAAAACAACGGAACAAGCTTGGTTTCTCATAGATTTGGCTATTTCACCTTCAAAACCCTTTTCCCTGTCATGGCTGTAACTACCAGCATCTTTCCATGACTTATTTCCTTGAGATATCTGCTTGCAGCAAAAATCAGGGAATACCATGGTTACCAGTGGCTTCATTTGCCAGCTGGATGATACCGGAAGAGAGCACATTATGGTGAGTTATGTCTTCTCCTTCAACAGAAGCACTAATAGTAGCATTCAATCTGTATCCCACCACTGATTATCAAAATTTTGAAACAATTTATCTTCAAGATCTCTGCTCTTTAAAGTCAAATTCAACTAGTTTGTCATTAACGGCTTTAAAAGTTAAGAAGTGACACAGGGAGAAAAATGAACAGACCAAGTTTGATTGCCTAGCTCTGTCTTCGTAAGATCTCGACTAGTAAAAACTGCCAGTGAAAACACACTAGAACCATACATACCTATAAAAGTATCTGAAAACTCAATTAAATAATTATAAAATAATTACTGAGAAAAGTCATTGTGTTTGTAAGTAGTATCTGTCTGTATTCCAGATTCCACATTCAAGATGATGAATCTCTTAAGTGAGACAAATTCATTAGCATTTATTTTATATCTAAGCATTAATTGTATGCAAAATATTATTTTCCCAAACAAAATAGAGCAGCACTGATTTTAACTACTTAAAGGTTAAAAAATTCATACACTTAAATTCCTCATATTTTTCATAAAAGCTCCAGAAACTTCCTTGGATTTCTTAAGGATAAAAAGATCCACCCAAAACAGAAACTTTTCCTTCTCCTACATCCTTAGCCCTTACCACTTCGGACGAAGAATATATTTTGAGCTGCGCTGGCTATCAAAGTTAAGTTAACTGAGTATCTGGGAGAGTAATTCAAATCATACCATCCTACTTACCTAAACTAAGCTCCTTGTCATCTACGTCCATCTTCCCTCTACACGTGTTTATGGATATTACTTAAGACTCTCTCTTCTCTCTCTCTTGTGCACTTGCCATACTTGTGAAACCTCCCCATCAGCTGAGGAACGGCAGGAAGCTTCTCAGCAGGCTGTAGAAATTGACTGATTTCAACTCTTTCAGAAACACTGAAATAAATGCTTCCGCTCTGCTTTAGTTTTATGTCGTATTCAATGCGTGTCATCTTAACAGCACAATCACTACGTTGGTTCTTCAGCAACTTCACGACTTTAAACCCAAACAATACTGTGGGCAAGCCTTTGCTTTCTCCTACTTACTTCCTCCTCCCCCTCCAAAGCACTCCAAGAAGTTTGCCGTCTCTTTACTGTCGATTAACAAAAGTTCACTGCTTTCAAAGGCAATTCTAGGTGAGTCACCGGGATGTTGTAAAGTGCCACAAAACCTTTCTTTGTACTTCTGTAACTACAGTGCTCTGACACTGGTCCAAGGGACTTCAGCGCTGATCATCTTGAGCAACTAGCTACAGTTGTCTTAAGTGACCTTTCTTAAAACTGGAATTAACCAATTCGGTTCTCATATTAAAGAAAGTAAAATATTATTCCTATACAGAAG